CGGATCCCACATACAGACCGGTTCCCGCTCACTGGCTGAGCGAGGCGCGGGGGCAACACCGAGGGTTGCGATCCCGTTGCTGGTCCAGGTCCAGTACGGGGGCGACACTGAGGGTTGCGATCCGTTGCCGGACATGGAAAAAAGACAAAAAAAAAAAAATATATATATATATATATATTGTCAGTATTTTAAAATTTCCATGCTCTGGTAAGATACCAAGTTAATCAAAATTCTTTGTGTACAAATATCCTGAAAATTGCATATTTGCATTCACACATATGATGACATTGGTAAGTTCATACAAAATTTCTGTATATAAGCAAAACAACACAAAATAGCTTTTTCAATCAAGTATTTTCAAAAAATAAGTATCAAGTAGTAAACAAGCTATGATAACACTTAATGCATACAATTAGTGCACATGAAATTTTGACAGTCTCCATTCCACCTGAATCGGATAGTCTTGTCAAATGAAAGCCCTAGTACCATTGTCAAATTAGGTTATATGGAAGTATACACTTTTCAGTTATGAAGCATTTGGAGTTTTTAGTTTCATATCCACAGTATTACATTACATTGAGCTATAGATTAGTCCTAAACATTTAAGGAAGAATGAATTATGTCAGTATTTATTTTCCCAGATCTCTGACCAGAATTGCTGTAAATCAACATATGAGGGAGGAAATACAGGAAAATCAAAAGGTTTGTTTGAACTCTTTTTAAAAAAAATTTACCACACTAATATCACTGAATAATAATATCTGAAATAGACTTTGGATCTTCAATTTTTGTACAAAAACATGTTAATTTATACTTTTTTGATTATTAAAACTGTTCAGATTCTTCCATTTTTATATTGTTTGCTATATGTAGCATACTCTGTGATTCTAGCCAGTCTTTCCTGACATATCTCCTATTTATTTTACCCTATACTTCAGAATTTCTGCCCATGTAGTATTGTTTTCTTCACAGGATAAAGAATAAAAGCTGAGAGTTAATTATTGTTTCTCATAATTAGTTTCGTTTAAAAGCTTGTGAGGACCTAGGCAATGTTAGACCACTGAAATATTACTAGAATCTATATCAACACAGTAGAAGACATGGATAGAAATAAATGCAAAGAATGTCCTCACTTACAAGTGGGAGCTAATAAATAAATAAGAAAGAGAAAAAAACAACAGTCACAGTAATACAATGAACTTTCAGAATGGGGGAACAGAACTAGGATTACTAGAAGTGGGAAATGAGGAAGGGAAGGGGGTCAGTGAGAAATTGGTTAGTGGACACGAAGAATCATTATGTATTGTAATGATGAATAAGCTAGTTATCCTGATTTAACCACCATACATTGTGCACAGATATTGATAGTCAACTCTGTACCCCACAAATATGTATAATCAATTAAGTTTCAATAAAAAAGTAAAATTTTTTAAAAATGCAGAGAAAGTGAAGCAGAAGTAATGAGATACAAGGGGTTCAAGAGAAAACAATAGATGAAAGGCAGGTAAAGGATTCAGCATGCCTATACAGCAGTCCTTGAAATACAAAAAAGTGATTGGACAGAACAAAGGTTTGTTTGTGTATTTATTTATTTATTTACTTATTTTAACTTCTCAGTATACATTGTAGTTGATTTTCGTGTCTCTTTATCTGTTCCTCTTTCCCCTCACTCTCTCCCCTCCCCCCGCAACTACATCATATCTAGAACAAAGGTTTAAAACTACAATTAGAAAATTTTTCTGAAATAGAAGAACACCCAAATCTACAAATGAAAAGAGTACACTGTGTAACTGGGAAATCTGACCCAGAATGGTCAAAACCAAGACATAGGCTATTGAACTTTATTAGGGAATAAAGGGAACTATTTGTGTATTTAATAAAAAAGATCAGAACGAAAAAAATCAGATTGGCCTCAGACTTCTCAAAAACGACATTCAAAACCATGAAACGGTGGAATTCCATATATATATGATATTCAAGGAAAGAAAAGCTGTCCTTCAAGCTGTCTTTCAGATAGATATGTATATATAGGGCACAAAGAACATTGAGCATCAAGAATTCAGGTAATATTGCTCCCAAGAGCACTTTCTGAGGAGTTTCAATTTAGAACTAGTTGAAGATGCTTTGGCAAAATGCTATTAGGCATTGAATATGTTTTGGCACAGAACTAAAAGAAAGGTGATGGAAAGGGTGATAACGCAGAACGTAAAAAGTACCTATTCTGCCAATGATGAGGTATTACAACTAATAAAAATGGGGGGGGTAGAAAAGAATAAATTTACTAACTGTCTTAACTGTAATACTTCAGAATTAGAGGATATGATTTCAGGTTGAAAAATCAAGGAGTGGAAGCCTAAACACATTTAAGAGTTAACCATTAGCAAAAATAAAACTATTGAATGAAGTCGGGCTATGAGAAGGAGAGGCAGAAAGAAGAAGTTTAAAGATAATTTTTTATTTTTTGTAGCAGACTCATCATTAGATATTATTTAAAGAGAATTCATGAGGATTATATGAGTATGCATGTTAAATAGTAACTAGCAGAACAAAAATCCAAATCTTCCCAAGTGTAAAAGTAACTGAATACGTGAAAAAACAGATTAAATTGTTAGAAATACATCTAAAATGCAGGATGGAAGAATAACAATTGAGGCTAACCATGTTTGTAATAGCAATAGTTAAGCAAACTTAACTAACATTAACAATAATTTTCTGTTTTAATCATTAGGCAAAATTTCATATATGTGAAATAAAAACTCAAAGTAATTCAGAAATGTTAAAAATAAAAGGATAAGCAAAGTATACCAAGCAATACTGTGTTACAGGAATAGCGATCTTCATATATTATGGAGCCAAATTCAGATCTGAAAACACTAAGAAGCAAAAAAATGGCCCTTTGTAATACTAAAAGGCATGATTAACAATGAAAATATAGCATCAGTACACAATAGGAGTATTCATAAAACAGAACCTGCTGGGAGAAATACAGTTCACCTTTTGGTACAAGACTGATGAAGTAGTCCAAAAGTAAATAAAGGTATAGAAAACCAAACAACATTTCAACATGGTAGGTCTTACTGATATATTACAAATTTTGTATCTGATAATAGAGAAAATATGCCTTTTTAAAAATTTGTATGGAATAATAATTACAAAAAATCCAGAAAGTAGATATAATAGAAAAAATGTTCCCGCCTTATTGCAAACAAGAAATCAGTAACAAAATTAGAGAAAAAGGGCTTTTCACTCAAAGATTAAAAACTTTTATGTACTCATGAGTAGAAGAGAAAGTATACATCAAGTTAAAGTATTTCTCTATAATAGAAAAAAAGACAATAGCACTTGAAAATATAAGATATTAAGGTTGACTCTTGAACAACATGTGTTTCAACTATACAGGTCCACTTACACGTGGATTTTTTTTCAATAAATACTGGAAATGTACTTTCTCATGATTTTCTTAACATCTTTTCTCTAGCTTACTTTATTGTAATAGTACAGTATATAATACATATCATACAAAATATGTGTTAATCATCTGTTTATGTTAGTTATCATTAAGGCTTCTGGCCAACAGTAGGCTGTCAGTAATTAAGAGTTTGGGGAGTCAAAAAGTTATTCACAGATTTTCAACTGTGCAGAGGGTCAGTGTCCCTTTGTTCAAGGGTCAACTGTAGTATCTTTGGGACACAAATAAAACAATGTTAAGAGAAAAGCCTTAAAATCTTACTTCAATAAAAATGAAAAAACAAAAATAAATGAATAAAGTATAGGACTTAAAATGTCTGTGTGGGCACCACCACATACCCTGACTGCATGGTTGAAGGCTATTGCTCTTATATCTATGCTGGCTACCTGGCTGCTCCTGCCTGCTCAGGGCCACTGAACCACCCAGAACCATTACCTTTTCTATCTCTCAGCCATTTGGAGTTAGCAGTGAAAGTTTGAAACAAGCTTTGTTTGTAGAGCGAGAAATCTTTAATTAGTAAACTAAATAATCATGACACTGCAGATGGTCTTCTTGATTAGCTACCTCTTCAGAGCACACCCATGGGAGAAAGACAAGGATGCTAATGGCTGTCATGTAATTAATCTAGGGTAAATGTGTTTGGACTAGCAGTCCATGTTACCGCAGTAGCCGATGGAGCATGTATGTGAGAAATAGTTAAACTGGATTTCAACCCTGGGGAAGAGTGTGGATGTGACTGGAAGGTCAGAAAATCTTGGACTGTTCATTGCAGTATTACTGCACGTAGGTAGGGCATGTGAATCCCCTCATTGTATGTCACTGTTACATTTCATCTATACGCAAAGAGTACGTTTCCTGCAAAACACATAAACAAAAGGTTTACGTAAAAAAAATAATAGCAATCTTTAATTATATAAAATGATCTCTCCTCTCATAATAAGGCAAATACAGATCAGAATTAAACTGAGAAACCAGATTTCAAAATTTGAGGAAGTTTGACAATGCATTCTGTTGGCAAGTCTGTCTTTTTTGAGAAAGAAAATAATAGCAGGAAACAAGAATATATATTTGTATATGTTTGTGTTCACATAAAGAAACACTAGAAGGATGAACAAGAAACTGAAAAAACAGCTCTAAGGGCAGAGGTAGGGGGTAGGGAGTAGGTGAAAGGTGCTGGCATAAGAATTCTTAGTGTATAGCTTTTTATAAAGTTTTGATTTGGGGCTCATGCAAAAAAATATGACTACGCTCAAGTTGTATAAGAGAATTCGAGTTTTATTCAGGAGACAATAGTGTAGCAAATTTCCAAAGTACAGCAAATTCCCCTTGAAGTTTATAATTGCTCCTTTGTTCTGAGTGACCAGAATCTTCTTTTGTTGATTTTAAGTTAAGTGTCAATCCACTGTGTCTTTTATTGTTTACTGTCAGAGCTATTAAATTATACATATTAATGTATTTCATAACAATTTTTGTTTGGAGAAAAATGGGGATATTGTCACATAGCTACTTTTTTTTTTTTTTTTGCTGCATCAGTGTGAAACAGATTGTTTCAATTACATAATTACGTAATGAACAAAATGCAGATACTTAAATACAAAATTTAGGTAAAGGATTATACCTTACCCATATAAAAGTTCACGTCTCTTCTAATTGTTTCCAACTAATTATTTTGTGTGAAAATTTTAGAACATCATCTCCAAAATTATATCTGTAAATCATATTTTCTTTAGAATATTTTTTCTTATTCCTTATTCTGAAAATAAAACCTTCTTATATTAGGATTTATATCTGATTTGACTTGAAGTTTTAAATTCAGAATGCATGTAATTTCACCTTAGGAATTTCCGACATGTTTATAAACCAGTACCATTATAAAGCTCAGCCAGTTTTCTGAGATCCAATCAATTGGAATTTCTATAGCCTGAGGTAATATCTCAGTTCCGTTGGTTGTTAAAGAGATATATTGGAATAAACTATTTCCTCTTTTTTAATAAATGAGCTTAAGTTTTTCCATGGGGATTTGCATTTGTTTCTGCTCAAAGACCAGGAGCATTCCCAATTTAATTCCACTTTTAAAAGTCCAAGTTTATATTTTGTGGGCCACAAAAAAGTGTGAAAACATACTCCAGACCCATGTGAAGATAAGCCAGAGGCCATGAATTCATATGGAAGACTTGTTCTTCCTCCTGGAAAAACCAAGGTGAGATAGACAAGGTTCTTTTCTGTTTCTGCAGAGCATTTTGTTTTCTAGTTCACCTTTTCACTGTGAGTGTACACAAGAATATTTTTGATGCTACTCTCTATCCTGTGTAGGTCTGAGACTTTCTGTCCTGTCCTTAAAAACCCAAGCTTTGGGCCACTTAGGAAGCTCTAGATTTTCTCAGGATGGAGCCGTTAGTGTTTGTTTACATCTCTGGATTCATATTCCCATTTCCTCTCTGCCCTCAGATGAATTCTTTATTTTTTTGAAAGCTAAGCCACATTTAGAGGACATTATTAATATTTTAATCTAGTTTTTGGTGCGTTCTTTTAGTAAAAGGATTTTTGGATCTTTGGTTTATCATATCACTAGAAATTAAATTCTCACCCCTTATTTAAAAGAAAGGCTGTCTTATGTCATAAGCTCAGACTAAGTTCTTAGGATTTAAGGTTGTTTCTCTGGGGCGGAGGAGAGAGAATTTATAAGCACATAACTGTCTTGAGAATTAGCAATTTAGTATGAATCTGTGTGCTTGATTTACTCTCTGTTGTAGCTGAAGATGCATTAAAACAGAAATGCATGAGGTACTGGAAAGAGTTTGAATCAGTGTGTTTGAAGGTTTAATGTAGTTTTGGGGAAAATAGCAAGCAATAAAGTCCACAGCATAGAGTTTAAGAGGAAATGATGAAATGGTGCTCCCTGAAACATCTCTTCTTTAAATTTAATTAGACAAATTATACTCAAACTAGTAGATGCCCTGGGAAGGCAATCAACATTAGGGCTAATAAAAAGCTTGAATAGTATAAAAGGGCTGGAGGAGGTATTGTAGAACCTTTCTAGCACTTATGAGAGGTAAATTAACACCAATTGCTAAACATAGAAACTGGATAAATTTCAATATTCATTTAGAAATTAATTTTATGATGCTGTCCTAAGTATTAAAATACAGGTTATACTTAAATCATTCAAAGTTTGGCATGTTCACACATGTGCACAAAGTATTTGATAGATATTTACACACTGGGAGACACAATTATGGTCTGACTTTGGAGTTTTGGCAGATCTGGGTTCAAATTCTGGCAAGTTTCCCTACTAGCTTTTTTTGGGTGCGTGTGATCCGAACCCTCGGGCGGGAGCACCACCGCGCTTCCCAAGCGGCGCACTATCCAGTGCGCCACCGGGCCGGCCCAGGCCTCTGTAGATTTTGAGGTTGGAATGCAGATGTCTTAGAAGAAGTACTTATGAAAATCTTACCTATGAATCTTCTTATGTTAGGGTTTAATCTCTTGTCAATATTCTGTATAAAACAAGTGGAAATATTTTTTGTCCCATTACAAGTTTAGTTCATCCTCTCCCTTCTCTGTATGTAGCTCACCTATTATGTTGGGTGATAATTATATAGAAAAATTCACATTTGTCAATCTTTCTTTAAATATCTTCAAGTTAGTTACTTGCTCTGCCTTTGCAGAGTAATTTACACAAATCTCTATTATTAATCACTTATCATGTGATATCATTGTAATGCACAGGTTTAAAATTGTTTTTCCTCTTAAACCAATTTACCTACCCCTGTAATAGTAATAATAAAGCTTTCATTTGTAAGTTCTTTATATGTGACTAGGCCCAGATATTTACATTAAAACTACAGCAAACCTGTGAGGTAAATATAATTCCCATTTTATAGTTGAGGAAACAGGATTATGAAAGCTAATTGAATTTCCCAGATTTTACAGCTAGTAAGTAGCAACACCAGGATTTAAACCAGGTCTGCTACTAACACCGTGATCTTGATAACTCTGTTACACTGACAGGAATGTTACATTTTTTTGTTTTTGTTAGTGGTCTTAGTACCTAAAGTTGTTTCTAGCACATTGCAGGTGCTCAGGAAATGTTCACTGAATGAAAGACAGTGAAAATTCAATTAGTAGAAATTTAATGGAAACTTTCATGAATTTAATGTGAGCTCCAAATATTTACACATGACCAGAGTTTTACTCCTGGGATATCACTGCCTCAAGGAATAGGAATGTACCAGCTATCAAATTGCATATGTGCACAAACACACACTATATAAAATATGGCAGGTAAGTAATCATTGTAGCATTAGAACTTTAATATTGCAAAATCAAAATATTCATCTATTGAATTCTGTCTGTAACCTAAGATTTGTATCACTTAGATCAGGGGAGAGCAAACTACTGTCTACAGGCTAAATCTAACCTGCCACCTGTTTTTATAAGTAAAAGTTTTATTGGAACATACTCATGCTCATTTGTCTACATATTATCCAAGGCTGCTTCTGTGCTACAAAGGCAGAATTGAGTAGTTGCAAAAGAGATCATATAGCCTGCAAAGCCTAAAATATTTACTCTTTACCCTTTCTAGAAATAGTATGGTGACCCCTGACATAAACCACTATTACATCACTTGTTTAACTGTTATTTTGTTCTATCTTAAGTATCTCCAAGATAGATTTGAAATTCAGCCAGGTGATGCTCATCTATTTATAAATGGCCTGCCTCTTGATATGGATGTTTATGATCCTTTTAGGTAAGTATTGAAGTATTGATATAAACTAACTGTGGTTTATATATGGGTAAACATTGTCCTGGATTTAGTATTTGTCAAAATGCAAAGAACCACTTTAAAGATAAAGCAATATGTTTGTGTAAAAAGAGTACTCTACCAAAATGTGCAATCCCAAAGTGTCTTACAATGTCAGACCTGGGAGAGACGTCGGAGATACTTGTTCAGATGAACGTTAGACTTACGTAATCCCATTGTTCTAAACTTTTTTATTGAAGAGAAGGTTGATGATTTAGCCTAGAAGTTCTTTGGGACTGGGCTGATCAGCCAGGGACCTCTATCCTTCAGAAAGCAACATGAGGCATTTTCCCAGTAAACAGTAGTTTGAAGATTCAGATTGCCCAAACTTTTTGTCAGTGAGGTTATTTACTGTTGATGTTATTGTTGTTTTAGCAATAACATTTTCTACCATGTTTAAGGACTAACAAAATTATTATATATGTAATAAGGAATTTTAATTCGTATTCTAAACAGATGTGAATGTTCATGCTTTAATGAGGCTTCCCCTGTATTAAAGTTTTATATTTTATGTCTGTTTGATCTTATTTTTGTAGTAGGTTTATCAAAAGAGTGACCTAATATTTTTTTCCCCTCATTTTGGCTTGCTCAGGGCTAGTTATATCCTTACTACTTTGGTAAAGAATGTAATATTCTTTGTTTTATCTTTTAAATGATAATGAGATTTTATTACCACTAAAAAAACCCATATAAGTTTACTCTGGATAACTAGAAAAGCTATTTGTCTTATTTGTTAATAAGTTTAATTTAACAATATATTTTCCTGTGCTGTTAATAAAAATACCAATTTGTTTTTAATGCTTTGAGAAATCTATCAAACTTTAAAAGATTTTTTAAAAATTTGGCAATCAAAACAAAACATTTCTTTTCTTTGAACATAAAGTATTTTGGATATGCTGAAATTAGAAGGAAAAATGATGAATGGACTTCACAATCTTGGGATCAATGGGGAAGATATGAGCACCTTTTTAAGATTAAATTCACACGTTTCACACGTTTCGGAACATTCCTATGTGTTAGATATTCGGCATTCCTCTATAATGGTAAGTACTCATGCTTCTCCTTGTTCTAAAACCTTTGGTATGTTTAAGGCTTAACATGATACCAAATATTGGCAACCTTTAGAATAAATTTAAGCATTTTGGAAGAGTACTTAGTGTAAAAAAGTAAAAATGTAAACTCATCTCCGCTCCTCCTTGTAGCTTCCTTCCCCTTCCTCATATTCTCCAAATTTCCTCACAAGAACAGCTACTCACTTTTAGTCAGTATCCTTTCCAGCTTTTAGATTAAAAACAAAACAAGAACAACGGGATAATCCCATGAACAACAGCAACAATAGAACATCAAATAGTTAAAATCTGAAGAATATCAGAATACTGCCTTAACATGATTAAAATCTTGCCTGAACAACTTGTAGTGGCCTCCTAACATTTTGAACTGTGTATTACAGCCTGAGTGAATTTTTTTTTGAAATTTGATTACATCACCATTCCTTGCTTAAGCACAGAAGTAGGCTTTAGTATGGCCTGTGAGGCTGCATAGGGCCTGCTTCCACTTTTCACTTCTTAGACTGTGAAGTATTCTTTTTCCCACTCTTCCTTATCTCATGCTTGGAAAGCACTTTTTCCTTTCTCTATTCAATTAACTCTTATTACTCTTTTTTCAGAGTTTAGCTCAAACAACTCTTCCTGAGAGAAGCCTTTCTTAATCCAGATTAGATAGGGGGTGGGGGGGGTATCAGGGAGTCCCTTAAGACTACCCTCAGGTTCAGTGATTTGGTAGAAGGACCCACGAGATCCAGATGTTGTTATACTCATGGTTATGGTTTATTAGAGCAAGAGGATACAAAGCAAAATCAGCAGAGGTGAAGTCCAGAGGAAACCAGGGGCATGCTTTCAAGAGTTCTCTCCCAGTGGAGTTGTATAGGATGTGCTTAATTTGAAGAGGATCAATACATGAGAAGTGCTACCTACTAGGGAAGCTTGGTTGGGCCTGGAGTTTAGGGTTGTGAAGTGGTATCTGTCATGTAGACATACAGTGGCTCTGCACCCGCCCTCAGTCACTGATACTCCAGACTTTTAGAAGAAAAGCAAGTGTTCATTATAAACTACACTGTTTATATGAACTCTCTAGACAGACTGTTCGAATTGCTGCAGCATGGCTCAAGGCCCTAATCAATCCAAAACACTCTTATTAGAACACTTCAAGAGCTCAATTCTCAGGAGCCTGCCTAGAGATAGTCATGAAAACAGGCCCTTCTTGTGAGTGTGTAAGGTGTGATCCACCCAGGCCTGCTGAGTTAACCATTTCATACACGTGTGTGTGTGTTTCATATGTGATTTTTCATATGAGTGTATGCACGTATATGTCAGAACTATCAATCTCTTTGCATTCTTTTATTTTTTTTTTTTTTTTTTGTCTTTTTGTCTTTTTTCCGTGTCCGGCAACGGATCGCAACCCTCAGTGTTGCCCCCGTACCGGACCGGGGACCGGCGACGGGATCGCAAGCCTCGGCGTTGCTCCCGCGCCTCGCTCAGCCAGTGAGCGGGAGCCGGTCTGTACGTGGGATCCGAACCCTCGGACGGGAGCGCCGCCGCGCTTCCCAAGCGGCGCACTATCCAGTGCGCCACCGGGCCGGCCCCCTCTTTGCATTCTTACAACAGTTATAATTTTACATATATCCTGTGGTCTGTTTCTTAGTAGACTGTATAACCCTTTTGCAGGTAGAAACTTGTATCTTTTTTCTCAACATTATGTCCCTGGGTTTAGTAGGTACTCAATAAATATAAATATTCCCTAAATGAATAAGTAAATATTTATCTCAAACTAGCATAAAACATCATTTTTAATCCTGAAATTCTGGAAACATTATAATTACAGTGTGACCAATATAAGCATGGCCCTATCACCTTTCTGATTTAACAATATTATAGAAAGTATAATTATTACAAATGAGAAAATAAAAGTGTTGCATGACATAAGATTGTATGACTAAAACTCCTTGAGGAAAGCCATTATAGTTAATAAGAGATTTTCATAGTAAGATGGATTTGAAGTAATATTACACAGATCAAAAGATTTTTTAAAAGATCTAAACAGTGGTTTATATGTTTTCTCCATCTTTTATAGTTGATTAGATCAAGACATCTAAGGTGTTGATTTGATAACTTTTATAAGCCGTCTTATTTTTCTTATATCCAAGCCTTTAAATTGAGAGGGGAGGTGGAGAGCCTCATTTATTGCTGATAATTAAGAGAGATATTCTTCTCTCTTAAATGGCTTATGGAGAGTAGTTTTTATTTTTATCTTGTAGCATGAGAAACACACATGAGTGATAGAAATCAATTGTTTTTGAGGTAAGGCTTAATGTAAAAGGCTACAGATATATACAGTTGTATACTTTGATGTGTTCCTTGAATATTCAGCTGGTTTCCTATATTTAATAAAGAAATATAGAAAATCCTATGTATATTTTCAGTTGTTACTTGATATAATGAAAATATGGCTTTGAAAATGATTTAAATGTTGGCTTAATATAGCTTTCACAGATTTTTGGATTCTTTCATAGTGGATTAATGACTTAGAAAATGATGGTTTGTATGTTACATGGCCTACAAGTTGCGAGGAACTTCTGAAGCCCATATTCCTTGGAAGTATACCTTCCATAAGGCGTAATTTTCATAATTTGGTGAGTTTTATATATTAGTTATTTAAATATATATTTTATTAAAATATTAGCAATATTTTTGGACTACCTTCTGTTGGTAAATAGGCATCTGAGTTGTAATGAGGTAGCATGGCTTACTGGGTTTCAAAAGCTAGCAGTGTCACGTAATCTGCCTCTTATTATTCAGCCTTAATGTCATTGTGTAACACTAATATTAAGTTGGTGGATTATTTTTACATTTTCTCAAATGATTTTATGATAAGATTTTTTTTCATTCTATATTATAAGGAACTAATGATTAAAGGGTAGTACATTTCAGGGGAAAAGACATAAATATGACTTTATCATCTATGCATGTTAGTTTATTATTACAATACTAAATATCTAGACAATCTTATTGTAACTTTGAAATGTGCAGAAAACACCTAGGGCTTTACTTTTTTTCACATACGAGGTAAATATTTATTTCCTGCAACAATCTTGAGCAGGCAGTTATGTTAATACTACTTTTTTGGTCGAAATTCAGTTTCCATTTCCATTTAAAGCAATTTACCACAGAAAATCCAGTGAACATTTAGAATAAGGTGTTTTACTTCATATAAAAAAATACTTTATGCTGTGCTTCCAAAATGGAAATGAGTGGTCTGACATTAAATTCCATGTATAATTATGTTTGGATGTGCTACTTTTAGAAATCCTTTATAAATTGTGAAATTCTTTCTTATACCTATTCCTCAAAATTCTTTAGAATTACTAGAAATTTCTTTTAGGGCCGGCCCGGTGGCGCACTGCTACAGTGTGCCGCTTGGGAGCGTGGTGGCGCTCCCACCGAGGGTTCGGATCCCACATACAGACCGGTTCCCGCTCACTGGCTGAGCGAGGTGCGGGTGCAACACCAAGGGTTGCAATCCCGTTGCCGGTCCCGGTCCGGTACGGGCGCAACACTGAGGGTTGCGATCTGTTGCCGGACACGAATAAAGACAAAAAAAAAAAAAAAAAGAAAATTTCTTTTAAAAAATTATACCTTGAATTTTGTACTTTTAGCTACAGAAATCAGACTATACTTGAATTTCATGAAAATTTTAAAGTATTAAATTAGTGATTATTTACTATCTGTCTTTTAGGTTCTATTTATTGATCCTGCTCAAGAATATACCTTGGATTTTATGAAACTTGCTGACCATTTCTATTATCATAAAATTCCTCTTAGGTAATGGTCAATTTATATCATTAAAACTGAAGGAAATCCAATGATGTTTTTATTGTGTTATTACATGGCATTAGCATGGAATTCAAAGCAATGGTTAGCTCTAGTTCCTGATACTACATACCTGTGTGTCATGAAGTGTCATATACCTTTATGATAGATTCTTGATCAAAGCTAGTAATTTTATTTACCTTGTTACCTTCCTGAGAGAATGATCTTATCACTGTGGGAACTTATGGAAGGGTTCATCTCTATGATTGTAGTACAAGTACACTCACCCTTTTTTCCCAGAACATGGTCATTTGAAAATGTCACCACCAAAGAGAGAGAGAGTTTGGCATTTTACAAGAATCCAGTAGCTATGAAGATTTTAGTGAATAGGCATTACAATCAAACTTTTCAAGTAATAATATTCCCCTGTCCCCATCTACTATTATATTCCCCCCATCTAGATGTCGTAGTCTAGTAATACTTAAAAATAGTGGTTTATTGTGTTTCATGAGGTATTTGTGACATTCCTTATTCATCTTCTTTTTCCAGAATTGGTTTTGTGTTCATTCTTAATACAGATGATAAAGTTGATGGAACAAATGATGCTGGAGTTGCTCTTTGGCGAGCTTTCAACTATATTGCAGAAAAACATGATGTGTCAGAAGCATTTATTTCCATAGTACAAGTGAGTTTATGCACCAGATACAATTTCTTTGCAATGTGTAATTTTCTTACATTACTATAATATTTATTATTGTAACATTTCAGCGTTTATGAAAACTATCATGGGGATTAATACAGATGACGATTTGATTATTGCAGCTACCTACTGAAGTACATAATATTGTCACCACGTTTTAAATTAGACATCTGAGGCTCTGCCAAAATATATGAATTTACTTAGGTTTACCCAGCCAGTAAAGGAACTTAAATTGCATATATAAGTTTAGAGGAAAACATATTAATAGAAAATGATTATTTGGGGAAATATTCTTGAAATAGGTCTTTAATAAAATCATGAATAAAAATATTATTACAAAATTAAATGTTCTATATGACAAACTGTATAAACTTCCTAGAGAATTTCAAAAAAGGAGATCACATAGTGACAGCAAATTGTGTGAAAGAGGTAAAATTGATAGTCTGACAAAGAGATTAAGAACAGTCACAAACTGGTAAGAACCTAAGAAAGAAAAGAGACAGGAAGATTATTTAATGCTTGAGATTTTAAAATTTTGGTGTAGTTCATTGTGGAAATATAAATGTATTAGAGAATTATAATTATGAAAAGCTGTTATAGCTTAAAAATAACTTCTATTTATTTTTATATTCATTGGGCTTTAGAATGTCAACCAGTATTATAAAAAAGAATGACTCTTCTTCAGACTGAGAAAGGAATTTCCAAAGCTGTATGAATTTCCTACCCTACTTCTGTAGCTCCCAGGAAAAAAATCACTAAATACCTCATTAATTCACTGTCTTAGAATATAGAAACTATCTACACTTCAGTGATTTGGGGGTACAGTTTGCTATGTGAAATAGTGCCATGGAATATGTGTCAACATTATATCTCAGTTTATTAGTTTTACTAACTTACTGGTCTAAAAGTTTATAAGGTCAAACTACTTTATTGTAAAAGGATCAGTATGATATTCAACACTGAGAAACCTGAAGACATTCAGAAATTATCTTTACCTGAGTTATCTTAATTATCAATATCAAGTCTCTTCTGTGGACATTTTGTATCAGATATTAAATTGAATATGATGGCATATTTGTCAATCACTTGCCTTTTGAATTATCTACTACAATATTTAGCACAGTGCCATAATCTTAGAAAACTGAATTACACTCGAATCCTTGTTTCAATTCAAAGCAGCATCAAAGTATTAAATATATGTTACAGCCTATAAGTTGTGCTAAACAATTAGAAGAGAGAGAGATAACTGAGGAAGGAATGTTTAGGAAAAGTATATTAGAATCCACTGAGGTCTGTAGTGTGGAAAAGTTTGTGGTTATTCAACTTGTGACCCCTCAAAAATCACATTATTGAGCCAGCATTCCATTGGGAGTATATTGTGTTCTTTAAATGACTTAGCCTTAGAATAATTTGAACAAATTACGTGAATTATAAAATCTCCTTAAAACTATTTTATATGAGCAAATTACTTTATTTGAATTACATAATTTGAAAAGATACTCTCAGGAGAGAGAGGGAATATAAGATCAAAATAATGATTAAAATATACAAAATTTACTGATATGTGACACTAAGCAAATAGCAAATAATAAAAGTTCATCCAGCCATATCAGTGATTATATTAAGTATGAGTAGATTAAACTTAAGCATACTAGAAGAATGGATATAAAAAGACAGAAAATTATGCACAAGGCACATATTCAGCAAATGAAACCTAAGGTAGCCATAAAATATTAGGGGAAATAAACCTTATGAAAAAGTACTAGAGTTATATGTAGCTAATAAAATAGTTTCAAAACCAACAATGCAAAATTTGATAGTAAGGGAGAGAAATGGACAAATCCACCAAATACATTAGGTTATTTCAGCATTTCTTTCTCAATTATTGATAAGTGAAACAAAGAAGAAATAAGTAAAGATATATAAGATTTGAGTAATACAATTAATGAAATTAATTTACAAGGCAAATATAAAATCCAGCAATCAGAATGAGGTAATTTTACAATTTAAACAGAAAAGGAAAATATAAGTCTTTTAGTTAGAAAAGAAGGGCTTAAAAGTACTGATTAACCATTCAGAAATGAAAAAATCATTTTTTAAAAGTAGAAAGAAAGAAGTAATAAAATAAGAGTAGACATTAATGAACTAGGAAGGAAAAATATAATTGAGAGGATCAAGTTTGGTACTCTAGACAGATAAAATTGACAATTCATCATGAAGACTGGGTTCCGAATTAGCATACCAGAGATAGCAGGTAGAAAATACCAACTTTCTAAGGCCTGGGCTGAGAAACAACACATCATTACTTTCGGTGTGCTCGGTTGTATTCCACTGGTCAACCCACCCCTCAATGGAAAGACCATTGAAGAATTTGGAGAACGTGTTTTAAAACCTGTACAGCAAGTTCTACCAAATGTTGAAATGAACAATCATTTCAATCTTTAAAGTCTGTTTTAGAGAATAGAAAAAGAGGAAACGTCCTAAATCACTCTATGAACCTTGCGTAATGTGTGTCAAAGCCTGACAAAAACAGAAAAGAAAAAATTACAGACTGTTCTCTCTTAGGAACATAGATGCCAAAATCCTAAATAAAACATTAGCAAAGCAAATCTAGCAGTTATGTAAAAGGTAAGCCATCATAATTAATGTGAGATTATTTAAGGTGAAATATTAAAGAGGTATTTGAAAATTTGAAGAACCTGTGAATATATTTCATTATATTATCAGTACAGAAGTTACATAGAAAACATTTGAAAAAATCTAAACCTTTTTCATGATTAAAAAAAAAAATAAAGAGTACAGCAAACTAATATGTAAGGGAATTTCCTTAATTGATAAAAGGACATTTTAATGGTAAAATGAGAAAAGCATTGTTTTCAAACTTGGAAAAAGATAAGATACCCAGTGTCAAAACTTCAAGTATTGTCTTCAAGTTCCAGTCTGTGCAATAAGCCAAGAAAAAGAAATAATTTAAAATATTGAAAAGAAATAAAGCAGATCGTTATTTACAATTATAGGCTTGTCTACACAGGAAACCCAAAAGAATTCATTGATTGTTAGATTTGTTAAAGGAGTTTAGTAAGGTAACTGGATATGAGATGTGTATTCAATAATCAGGTGCATTTTTCTTTTCCAACAACAAATATTCATTAATTACTTTATTCATCAGTTTTATTTAGTGCCTACTACATGCCAGGCTCTGTTTTAGGTGCTTGGTTGTATTAAAATATATAGATAAGGATCCTAACCCTCATGAGAGCATATATTCCAGAGATTGAAAATGTACTTTCTGTAATGACTATGTTCACAATAAGAGCAAATAAAAGATACTTAGGAATAAATGGGAAAAAGATGACTTTTGTGGAGAAAATTTTAAGTCATAGAAAGCCATTAAAGATGACCTAAACAAATGAAAAGCTCTACAATGTATATCAGTAGAAGTATTTCACTTCATAATTATGTTGTTTTCTGTGATTGATTTGTAAATTCAGTGCAGTTCCAACCAGTCTAATCATTTTGTGTGTGTGTGTGTGTGTGTGTGTGTGTGTGTGTGTGTGTGTGTGTGTGTGTGTAACTTGATGGGCTTGTTTTAAAATTTATATGGAAGATTCAGACCCAAAATAGCTCAGACTCTCTTGAAGGAGAGCATAGTGATGGGACATTCCATACTAGATAATAAGATGTGTAGAACTTGTAGTATTGGTTTAAGGGAAAGATGTATCCACCAAAAGAACATACGGGGACTGCAAAACTGAAGAACTCAGAAGTGACATTACCTTAAGTGTAAATAGACTTTCAACAACTGGTGGTTGGACAATTTGCTGTACCAATGCAAACAAATAAGACCTCACACATTATGTAAAAATCATTTCACTTAGCTTAAAAACTTAAGGGAATGATAAACACAAATTCATGATAATGCTTGCATCTGGGAATACAGAGAAATGAGAGTCAGAAAGAGTTTGTACGTTACAGTATTGGTGATGTTCCATTTATGTTACATTGTTTGCTTGTGGAGATTTTTCATTTTATTATTTACACTTCACAGCATATTCTCCTTTTTTGTTATGTATATATTTGTTTGCCTACCCAGTTACGTAAGAATTTTTAAAATTAAACAGTGTATAAGAAGATTGAATTCTTATATGTCTGAGTACCTTAGGCAAGACATTCTGGCTACCTTATTTAATAGGAGTAACTAATGTTTTCAAATGTGGTTAGTAAATAACTGATCATGGTGACTTTTCATATATAACTTTTTTCTTTATTCAAAATTTCATTTTTGTAATCCCTGTTTATGTTTTACAGAAGGCTGAACTTTTTACTTTTTAAAAATTACTGTGATTATAGTATGTTCTACTTGTTCTACCTCCCTAAATTGAGAAGCTCATAAAACTAAATGAGAAGTTTCAAAAAACTCAACTCTGCAGTTCAGTTACAGACCTGTGCCTCTTTTTAAAGGAATAGGTTACAGTTTACAATGATAAAGGAGAACAAAGGGTACTAGTTCCTTAGTATGAGGACTATTATATGGGGGACCTGTCAGCTATAATTTTGTCTCTGGCAATATAATTTAAGTGAATTGGGACTATATAAATAAATATTCCTAATTGATATATCAAAATGCTGCCCACTGGTGATTGTTCGTTTTGGTGGCTGTCCAGTGCAGGCATCCGAACCCTTGACCTTGGTGTTATCAACACCAAGCTGTAACCAACTGAGCTAACCAGCCAGCTAGACATTTGTACTTACTAGTTGTTCCTTCTGCTTGTAAGGTTCTTTCCCTAGAATTCTAAATTTTAGTTCATGTTCATATTTATGTCTCAGCTCAGTCATCTGCTCAGATTTGCCTTCTCTCTTGATGCAAAGCCTAGAACAACACTTGGGTCATAGTAGAGGATTTATAACTATTACTAGTATTTATAACTATACTCATTAAAGGGAGAAATGAAAAAAATGAGAGGAGTAACAGTTTACATTCTGTAAGTGTATTTAGAACATTTGAGACTGGGGAAGAGTGGGGGTACAGAGAAAATCTAGTGAAGGTATGTACTGAAGAGCAATCAGAAATGAAAATAAAACATTTCTAAAATAAGTCATTTGAAAATATTTTACACATATCATTTTGAAGTAAGGTAATCATTATTTTATTAAGAATCAGTGTCTGGTTTGATCAAAATAGAATATAACGTCAATTTATGATATTTTTGAAAGTTATAGAATATTTAAAATAACATTTTTAGTAGAATATGATCTATTGTGTGGTTAAAATGATTTGTCTGCATGTAGTATGTGTAAGTATTTAGGGTGCTTAGAATTTACAGATACAAAATATGTTCTTTATTTTACAAATCTATCTGCCTGCTAAGTGAAAGAAAGAAAACTAATTGCTATAAGAGGAAAATTAATTATAATATCTCTGTTTCCACAGATGTACCAAAAAGTGAAGAGTCAAAATATACTCACTGTGGACAATGTTAAGAGTGTTCTCCAAAATAAATTTCCTTATGTTAATATTTGGGATATTTTGGGAATTGATTCTAAATATGATAAAGAAAGAAAAGTAAGTTGTGACATTATGTTAAGTGAAATAAACCATGCAGAAAAGCCAAATATCACATGATCTCACTCATATGTGGAATATTAAAAAGTGGAACTTATGGGCCGGCCCGGTGGCGCACTGCTACAGTGCGCCGCTTGGGAGCGCGGTGGCGCTCCCGCCGAGGGTTCGGATCCCACATACAGACCGGTTCCCGCTCACTGGCTGAGCGAGGGGTGGGAGCGACACCGAGGGTTGCGATCCCGTTGCTGGTCCCGGTCCGGTACGGGCGCGACACTGAGGGTTGCGATCCGTTGCCGGACACGAAAAAAAAAAAAAAAAAAAAAAAAAAAAAGGAAAAAAAAAAGTGGAACTTATAGAAACAGAGTAAAATGGTGGTTACCAGGGGCTGAGGGGTTGGGGGTTTGGGGAGATGTTGGTCAAAGGGCACAAAATTTAATTTAAACCTGAGGAGTAAGTTGAAGAGATCTGCTGTACATCATGGTGACTATAGTTGTTAACAACATATTGTATACTTGAAAATTATTAAGAGAGTAGATTTTAAGGGTTCTCACCATAAAAAATAAGTATGTAGGTAATGCATATATTAGTTAGCTTGATTTAGCCATTCCACATGTATGCATGTATCAAAACATCATGTTGTACATCAAAAATATATGCAAATTTTACTTGTCAGTTAGAAAGGTAAACAATTGTAGCCTCAACCTAGAAGATTCAGAAAAAAAACCCAGAAAAATCAAAGGCAACGAGACAAATTCCCAAAGAGAAAGAGTAATAGCACAAAGAAGTTCCCAAAATTGACAGATATAAGTCTTCATTGGAAGGGACCCACCAAATAAATGAAGCCCTGATTTCCTTTCAGCAACTTAGCTAGAGCTCGATAAGGAGGAAAGATGAGAGACTGGAATTTGACAATCACGACCGGAAGCTGTCCCGACCCGCGGGATATTCAACGCAGACCCTGGAGGGGGGAGTGGGAATTGG